GTCTTAAATTTTAATTTAATTTTTCATTATAAATAATAGATATTAAACTTTTAGCGATTAATATAAATAATTGTTCTCAAATAAATACCATCACAATATTTCTTTTTTCATATCTTATGCATGGTATACCTGACAGTGATGGAGCATCGACTTACCAATAGGTGTACTTTAGAACGAGATTCCAATTTCTGTAGATATATATTTAGCACATGCATTGTTGCGAGCTAGCTTTACGATGAAACTACCTTTAGTACTTGTAATACAGTCTCTACATCGTATCCCGTAAAAGAATTTAGTAGTGGAGCATAGCTCATCGTAGATTTAACCTTACATGCTAACGGTCTTAGTACATACAGGTTACTTTTTAAGAGAATGAACTCTACGTTTGTAGAAATTGTTGGATGCAGGCTTCGTAAGTGTATTCCAACGACGTAGAAGCTTTTGATGCAAGCCTTCTAGGTGTGTTCCAACACGTGTAGGAGTCTCTTGAAAGAAAATTTTCAAAAGATTGGAGAAGAAGGGCTTGATCGAGAGTTCTTGAGAAATTGTGGAATTGGATTTTATTCAACCCAAGAGTTGATAGAGATTTCGAGAGAATCTGTGAATGTTTGCTGAATCCACCACACCTAAATGGTGTGAAAGTTATCTTATTTATAATCAAATAAATTACAAGGATATGGAAATAGTAATAAATGGAAATAACAATAAATGGAAAGATACTATAGTAATAAGGCAAATGTTAGATATTTGCCTTATAATAAAATATCAAATATAATATATATGGTAAACTATAATTTATTACTAAATATCCTTAACACCCCACCGCAAGCTAAGCGTCGGATTTAAACGAACGTGAAGCTTGAATCTGAAAAATTCAAAGAGGTTGAGAAACACTTTTCGCAAAAATGTTAACAACCTGGTTCAAAGGAGGCGTAGAGAAACACTTTCTTGGCCATCGAAAACTGCAGAGAGATCGCCGCTCAGCAGCGATGCTGCCTTGGCTTCGGTGAGAATATGTCTAACCCATGAAGAGGGATTGTCGTTTAGCGACGATGCTGACTTGGCTCTGGTGAGAATATGTCTAACCCCAAGAAGTAGAAGGGGAAACCTAGAGCAAGGGACAAAGACAATGTTGAAGCCGGAAGAGTCGCCACATTGGGCGAATGAGCCAATTTTGGCGAGAAGGGCAGCTGGAAGAGTCGCCACATTGGGGCGAAGGAGCCAATTTTGGCGAGAAGGGCAGTGGCAACTTGGTTGGCGAAGATGCCAGGGCGCCGCGAAGATGCCAGTGCGGCGCCCAGATTCCAAAGGTAAATCTCTGCAGAAGGTCGATGGGCTTATTGAGATTCTGTATATTTTCGAAGAGGAATGCTGATGAAGATCCTAAGATTAGGGTTTTTGTGAAGGATGAAGGAAAAATTGGGAAGAAAATGAAAGAGGCTATGTTTGGAAAAGGTGAGGTTGTATGTACAGAGTATGGCGAAGGATGATTTGGAGGTCAAAAAGGTGGAGCCAAAGAATAATCAATCGACTCTGCATGTGACAGCCATGACGACTGCCCCTGCGGCATCAAAGACAACAGTGGTGGTGGAGAAGAACAGTAGAAGATTTCAAAAGCCATTGAAAAGAAAGGATCTAGGTTGCTAAACCAAAATGACTCTGATACCATGTGAATGTTTGCTGAATCCACCACACCTAAATGGTGTGAAAGTTATCTTATTTATAATCAAATAAATTACAAGGATATGGAAATAGTAATAAATGGAAATAACAATAAATGGAAAGATACTATAGTAATAAGGCAAATGTTAGATATTTGCCTTATAATAAAATATCAAATATAATATATATGGTAAACTATAATTTATTACTAAATATCCTTAACAGAATCTTTGCCAAATAAATTATATAAATATCTAACCTATTAACACAAAAATATCATATTTTACTGACTTAAATTTTATTCAAATTTCAAATATTTTTTTTTTATCACATCTAATACATATTAATTGTTTTAACCGAATCAAATACAATAAAAATATTTTTATCTTTTAATATATCTAATGTATTAAATATTAATTTGTACTCTTCAAATTAAATATATATTTTTTTTTGTTTATATTTAATAGATCTAATATAAAATTAACTTGTCCTATAATTGGACGGTTATGTATTATAGGACAAGTTGGGTCCATTAATATAATCATTACAAACAAGTCGATCTTTCACGAGTTGTTTGTAATTACATGTAGGTCAAAAGTTCGTTCACCCTGTAATTACATATTTCCTCTTAAGTACCACCTCTCTAATAAACAATTTGTTTATGATCCAATCGTAGGAGGGTATAATTAGTACCTAAGGTAAGTACTCATCTACTTACCGTATATGGTAAAAGTGAGTTTCATCTCATGAAATTATGTTTCTAGCTCTCTATTTAGTTAATTTTCCAAAATGATAGGCATATTAAATCGATCACAGAAGTCATTCTCACCCATGCAAATCAAAAGACAAGCTCTCACAGGCAGACATTCATAACTCACTCAAGTTTAAGATCGAGTCGTGTATGATCATCCTATGAAATATTAATTTTTTCAATTAACAAATTTATAAAAAGAGATTAAATATTTTGTAAACCCCCCTCACATGTCACACACGAACGATTTGAATCAAATAATTTGTTATAAACTGGGTCGTAACAATAGTGTTGACAGACACTCAACCTTATCCATTTAGATCCTAAAGCTCTAAAGAACAAGACGTTTAGATCTAAATAATGTAAGAACTCGAAAAACGATAAGGAATCAACTGAAGGAAAAATTTTAGAACGAATTACCTTGATGATCAAGATAAAAAGTAAAAAAATCTCGTTTCTAAACCCATGATTCGATCATTCCCCTAAATGGTTTGATTAAGACTACTTGAATGACTCTAACATGCAAATGTATACGCAAGAAATGTAAAGAAACAAGCTCATGACTTCATAACATGCAACTTTCATTTTAATATCCAAAATCTTTCGTACTATTTATAGCCTTGAAAATAAATTTATAGTAAAGGTTGTAACTCTCGGTCATCAATACCATAATGGCTACTATCTAACTGTATCTTATAATGTTAAAGATTCTCTGTAACATTAAAAAATATAATAAAACCTCGATCTTGTCATCCATCACGAAATCTTTGTGGTGTGATTAAGACACCTTATTTAATATCACGTGCTTCCACCAAGTTTCTTCAACATTGATGAATCTCGATCGGGAATCATTGATACTAGAGGCTACCAAATCTTCCTCAACGTAAAAAAAAAAAACATAACAAAACGATACTCGATCATAAGAAATCAGTAATACATATATTTAATCAAACACACCAGATAAGTAATTCACGGGAATATAAAAAAATTTAAAAAACCGAAAGAACCCTAAAATCGATTCTAATTAAATAACTTTTTCAATGCACTTTCAAGTCCGAAGTCAGATTAAAGAGTTGAATAAAACGACGATGTCATCTTACTCCGAGAAGATGGAGGGAATCAACGGTAAGAGAGAAAAATCGACGTATTTGAATTTTGGCGCTCTCTACGTCGGTGAAGAGAGGGCATAAATGTCTTTTCACATTCAACTAGGGCAAAAAAAAAAAAAAAAAAAGGGTGGGGGGTTTTGTATGGACCATGGTGGGAAGTGGAAAGTAAATTGGCTCGATCTTTTGGAATTTCCCGAAGAGTTTCATATGATCGTTTGTAATTAGACAAAATATGAAAGATTTGAGCTTCCATTGTCGCCCACCCACCAAAGACGGCCAATGCTGCCCCACCATGGCCGCACCATCATCATCCTCTGCCATCTCCTATCGTCCTGTGGTCTTCATCTTCCCCATTATTTTCTTTCTTCTTCACGTGAGCACCACATGGTTCCCCACTTCTCGCATTCAATTCTCCACCAGTTGGGTTTATATTATAATCAGGTGAGGAGATTGAGAATTTCAATACGTTTCGTTTATCTATAGGACCTTTAATACGAGATTACTGTACAAAACTGCTTTAACTCTTTTATTTGGTTTTGATCTTGGACAATTATTGGCCATTCGTGCTCATTCCAGTGGGATTGTTTTCGATTATTGAGCAGGAATAATGATATTCTTCTTTGATTTGTGATTTATGATTACAAGGCTTGCTTCTTTGATTTGTTTGGAATCTCAAGCTCTTGGTTATTGGGTTGTTTTAGATTAAGTAAACTTCCATATTGACAAGATTTAGGGTTTGTTGGCCCTATGTTGGGATTGAAAAGAATAATGAATTTTGTTTATATTAATCTTTGATGCCCTAGGAAGGTTGTTGATTTTGATTGAAGCTTTTTGATTTGTTGTGAGATCCCACGTCGGTGGAGAGGGGAACGAACTATTCCTTATAAGAGTGTGGAAACATTCCCTTAGTAGACGCGTTTTAAAACCTTGAGGGAAAGTCCTTGAAGAGAAAGCCCAAAGAGGATAATATCTTCTAGCGGTTTAGGTTGTTACCCATGGTATCAGAGCTAGACACTGAGAGGTGTGCCAACAAGGACGCTAGCCCCAAGGGGGTGGATTGTGAGATCCTATGTCGGTTGGAGGAGGGAACAAAACATCCCTTATAAGGGTGTGAAAACCTCTCCACAGTAGACGTGTTTTAAAACATTGAGGGGAAATTCTTGAAAGGAAAGTCCAAAGAGGACAATATCTGCTTGTGGGTGGGCTTAGGCTGTTACAAATGGTATCAGAGTTAGACACAAGACGGTGTGCGAACGAGGATGCTGAGCCCCAAAGGGGGTGGATTGTGAGATCCCACATCAGTTGGAGAGGGGAACAAAACATTCCTTATAAGAATGTGGAAACCTCTCCCTAGTAGACGCGTTTTACAACCTTGAAGGGAAGCCCTTGAAGGAAAAGTCCAAAAAAGATAATATCTACTAGCAGTGGACTTGGGCGGTTACAATGTTATAACCATTGCTTAATAGAATAGAATATGTTTCAAATGGTTGGTAGGTAGGTTTGAGAATGAGATAGTCAATATGAACATAGTTCATTTGGTTATTTCGATCATGGTTCGGATCAAACTAAAAGGATAAAAAATGGCGCGAAAATTCCCGTTGAAACAAGAAACGAAACGTAAAGGACATTTATCAGTAGGAACAGATGTGTGGTACAATACTTGAACTTGATGATTATTGAAGTTGCTATTAATGTCTTAAATGTGAGCATGATCAAGTAGCTCAACTTCTCAAGCAATTAGGGAATAAATCTGTCATGTCAAAAATGTGGTGAGAGAACCCTATAAAATAACCTAAAAGCTCTACCAATTTAGCAGAGAAACCATGGAGAGGAAGCAAAAAGAGAGAAAAGGGCATTTGGTGCTTGTTCCTTGCCCTTTACCAAGCCACATGTCTCCTATGCTTCACTTAGCCAAACTTCTTCACTCTCAGGGTTTCTCCATTACCATAATTCACACACAACTTAACTCTCCAAATGAATCTCATTACCCTGAATTCTCCTTTGAATCCATTGGTGGTAGCATGTTGGAGAGCTACAGTGCCTTTGATGGGGATGTTATGCTTTTTCTTTCAAAACTAAACATGAAATGTGAAACCCCATTTCATGAATGCTTGGTAAACATGCAATTGCGCTGTCAATTCAATCCAATCTCCTGCATAATATATGACGCTGTCATGTATTTTTCTGCTGCAGTTGCTGATGATTTGAAGCTTTTTAGAATTGTTTTGCGGACAAGTAGCGCCGCAAACTACATTGGGCTGTCAATTCTTGATGAGAGTGACTTTGTTTCAGAACGTAGAATGGAGGAACCAGTAGCTGGATTTCCCTTTCTGAGAATTAAGGACATGCCACTTTTCAGCACACAGAAACACACAAGGGAGGTTCTAACGTGTATTTACAATGGAACAAGAACTGCTTCAGCTATCATATGGAATTCCCTTTGGTGTCTTGAACATGCCTTGTTTGAGAAAATAAAAAATGAAACCTTGGTTCCTGTCTTTCCCTTAGGGCCTCTTCAAAAGCACTGTAGCAGCTTCTCCACTAATGTCTTAAGTGAAGAGCAGGGTTGCATTGCTTGGTTAGATAAACAAGCTCCAAGTTCTGTGGTGTATGTAAGCATTGGAAGTGTGGTTACTATGACAGAAGATGAACTCTTAGAAATGGCTTGGGGGCTTGCCAATAGTGGCCAGCCGTTCCTGTGGGTGGTGAGGGCTTGTGTAATCAATGGCTCAGATGGGGTTGAGCTGTTGCCTAGAGAATTTCATGAGGCTACCAGAAGTCGCTGCTGGATAGCTAGTTGGTTGCCACAGCAAAAAGTCTTAGCACACACATCAATTGGATGCTTTTTGACGCATAATGGCTGGAACTCAACAATTGAAAGTATAGCAGAAGGCGTTCCGATGCTTTGCTGGCCTCGAGTCGGGGATCAAAGGGTGAATGCACGGTTCGTGAGCCATGTCTGGAGGGTTGGCTTACAGTTGGAGGACAGATTGTTGAGAGAGGACGTTGAAAGCGCCATTCGAACTCTCTTCATCGACGAAAAGGGTATCGAAATCCATAAGCGAGCCAAGGAGTTAAAGAAGAAGGTTGATATCTCCTTGAGACAAGGTGGTGCTTCAAGTGAGTTCTTAAGCAGATTAGTTAAGTACATTAGCCTTCAAGAGACAATGATAAGGTTGTCAAATGCTTGATTAGCCTATGATAATGTAAGCTATGATTTCTCTTATGTAATTCTGCACATGTTGAAATGGTATGTGAAAGCTGTTGTACTTGTTCTGTCACATCACTTTTGGCTCTGCTTTTTAGCTGTTCTGTAATAGCCTTTCGAAACGTGGCCTTAAATTTTATCAGAAACAGTGAAGCACGTGGAGAAAATAGGACAAATGCTACTACTCAGCGTATGCTTCCCAACAGAAAAATGATGAAGACAGCTCAGATTGGCCCATTGCTATCTGTTGGTCTTTAGTAATTTTAACTTTTTCAGGTTCTTTTCTTTCATTTCTATTGCCTTTGGATTCATACTTGGTTCTGTAAATTCTCTTATTCTGACCGTGCCATGTTTTACTTGTGTTGGTATTGGTAAAAGTAGCTGTCTGGGGGGAATCACTTGATGTAGCTGAATCATCCAATGAGTGCTGGTGACGACTGAGTCTTGTTGAACAATGTAAGTACTTTCTTCTAAATGTATTGCTTACAAACTAGACAAGGCTAGGTCTCCAAAATCGTTATCGTACTTAATCGTCGTTTTCTACTACGCATGTTTCTTGTTTCATTGTCTGTTTAAGCCCGTTATGTATCGTTGTCAGCCTCGTAGTTTTTGTTTCGTTGTACTAGCCCAAGTCCATTGTTAGTAGATATTGTCCGCTTTGGTCTGTTAGATATCGCTGTCAGCCTCACAGTTTTTGTTTCGTTGTACCAGCCCAAATTCACCGTTAGTAGATATTGTCCGCTTTGGTCTGTTACATATTGTTGTCAGACTCACAGTTTTTCTTTCGTTGTACCAACCGAAGTATATCGCTAGTAGATATTGTCTACTTGGGGCCATTACATATTGTTATTAGTCTCATGGTTTTAAAATGTGTCTATTAGGGAGAGGTTTCAAACTAGACAAGGCTAGGTCTCCAAACCCTATCGAAGTTAATCATCATTTGCTACTACGCATGTTTCTTGTTTCGTTGTACCAGCTGAAGTCCACCGCTAGTAGATATTGTCCGCTTTGGTCCGTTACGTATTGTTGTCAATCCATAGTCTTGTTCCGTTGTACCAGCCCAAGTCTATCGCGAGTAGATATTATCCGCTTTGGCTCATTACGTATTGTTGTTAGTGTCACAGTTTTAAAACGCATCTACTAGGGAGAGGTTTCCACACCCTTATAAGGAATGTTTCGTTCCGTTTTCCAACCGATGTGAGACCTCACAATCCACCCCCTTGGAGAGCACAACATCCTCTCTAGCACACTGTCCGATCTCTAGCTCTCATACTATTTGTAAACAGTCCAAGTCCACCTCTAGTATTAGATCTTGTCTGTTTTAGCCCGTTATGTATCAACATCAACCTCACGGTTTTAAAACGCATCTACTAGGTAGAGGTTTTGTTCTCCTCTCCAACTAATGTGTGATCTCCCATTCATGCCAACGTTGTTTGTTTTTCATCGTTGTGAAACCAAGACAAAATGTCATTGTCTTTTGCTCTAAGCTTTGCATAGCTTCGATGATGCTTTTGTTTATTGCTCCAAATAAGTTAAAAGAAAAACATATCTATACAGTGCTTTTGAAGGACAAAAGCAATTTCATTGGCTGTTGTTTCTTTAAGAAAATGGTGATGTGATTTGGGTGAAAAACTGTTAGCTGCAAAGAAGGATTGGAAGTTGTATTTGATAATGATGCTTTAAAGTTCATGATTGTTATCCAAAACTCTCCCATTTATTCACTGTCACTCTGATTCCAATCATTTATTTGGGAACAAAATGGACGTTTGTGGGTTCACTACAATCTTTTGTAGAATTATCCTTATTATTTCCATTCATTATTTTATACCAAATGCTTCTAAACCTTAGGATATACTTTAAGAATTTATTTCGAAATAATGTTTTTATCTATTTTCAGAGATAGAAATGTAACGACGTGGTGCAGACTTGTTGGATACAGAGTACTCGAGCGTAAGTGATTTCAATCATGTGAATCTATCTACTTCACTCTCTAATCAACGAGAAATTACTCTAGAGGAGATAAAAACAAATGTATGGTTGCGGGATAGCAATTGTGCGACAGTGTGGACACTTGTTCTAATTGAGTGAACATGTCAGCTGTGTGAAATTAGTAGTTTGTGGATAATCGAGCATGCTCGAGTTTTGGGTCACTTTTTAGAGTAGTGTTTTAGAAAACGTGAACGAGTAAAATATGTTGAAAACAATTATAAAGAAAGTAATTGTATAAGCTAAAAATGAGTAGGCAACAACGGTGGACATAGGAGAATTGACAACTAGTCACATCCCTTGTAATGCATTATGAGGCATTTTAGCCTTTGGGTGTAGACATGATTTTGGTGATCGATCATATATCTCGTATTTACACAACATGAAATAATACAGGTCTATCTAACATGAAAGTGAGTAAGAAAGAATTTAGAACGGGCTTATTGACACTGCATGAAATAGTAAAGGCCTATCTAGACAACATGTTTCGGACAAACGTGATCAAGACATCCGACATTTTGTCATAGGTAACACGCCTTGGACAAGCATGGCCATGACAAGACAACATGAAAAATACTAATTGCACCTCCATCAACGAAATCTATATTAAAACTAGGTTTAACATGGAAATCAAGATCCCAAGACAATTAATATACTTGTTTAAAATAACATAAACATTATTAAGTACGAACATCGTTTCATGGCCCCTAGAGAAGCGATCATCATCCGACTAAAGGTCCGAATGATGAGAGATATATTTAATTTGAAGTATTCAAATTAATATTTAATAGGTTAAATATATTAAATACAAACCGAAAAATATATATTTAATTTGAAAGGTTCCATCACTTTTTAATATATATATATATATTAAATATAAATGGAGAAAAATATTTAATATATTAAACAAAAATATACTTATTGTATTTTATATATTAAATATTAAAATAAAGACTATACGAAGGAGATTCAACCCGACTTTATAGAAGAATTTAACCGATAGAGGAATTGGAGCGAGTAGACACACCAGTCTAGATTTTTTTTTCTAAATAAATTTGCTTAAACCTTAGTTTGGTTTAATTGTAAATAAATTCAAAGTTGATTCCAATACTTCCGTTTCATAAATGAAGTGTTTATTCCCGACACCTCATGCATAATAAATGTTACCAGTATGAGATACTTCTTCAATATCTTTTTTATATAGACGCTACACCATGATGTGGCACACACTCCTTCCCTTCCATTGATTTTCAGTAGCTTGAGCGTGCACTAGCCCGTAGTCAGGTTTTGGGGTACGTATACAAGCCCATCTAGTAGATTCATGTGCACGTGCATGAAATCATGTGTAGATGATATACTACACATCCAACCCTACTCGGAAAGAGAAAGTAGAGCCCAAAGAACAGTCACAAAAAGATAGGTCTCACCATTGACTATGATTGTATGCAATTACATTTTTCGATCCCAACAATTTGACTAACTTACTGAATATTTTTAAATACTCAACCCACGACGACATCAACCATGGAGGCTATGAAAGTAGAGTCAAGATACGCGATGGGGGCATCTGCATTGGTTTTAAATTTGATAGGAGAGGTCGTTTTTGTCCTATTTTTAGTTACACTATTTCTTTGACGTTATTTTTCAATTTTAAATGAATTTTGTGAACGTTTAAGTTCATGACAATATTTAAATTCGAATGATTTTTCGAACTAGCAATCATAACATGCATGTAGTAGCGGCTTCATTACAATTTTCATCACTATAATTTCAATTAATTAAAAATAGGCTAAATTAATAAATACCTTTAAACTTTGAACGGTCTAATAAAAATATAAAATTTCAAAAATTTCAATTATACCCTAAACTAAAAAATAAAAATAAAAAAAAAATACTCAAATATGGTTTAAAAAAGAACTTTTAAAATTATTTTTAATATTTTTTTTAAACTTCAAAAATACTTTTAATCTTTTTATAAAAGATTTAAAAATATATTTACCATTTGTATCACGTTAAAAAAATAACATTAAAATATTTGTATAACAGTTTTTGTCCATTATTGCAACTATTTTTTTTTTTATTTATAAAGGTAAGTTGTGTTAATGCTACTCAGAGTATTTTTTTAATATAATATTAATAATAAAGATTTTTTAAAATATTTTTACAAAACTTACCCGTTATCCCAGAATGTTTTGGGCTTATTTTGGGCTGGATAAATTTGAAGCCCATTATGTGAAGCCCATTATGTGAAGCCCATTATGTGAAGCCCAATTAGCCGATACAAAAGGGGTTTATCCTCCTGTAGTTCTCATCAGCCAAAACCCCAACCTCAGACCTCCCTCCATTTTTCAGCACAAAAAGACCTTTCATGGCGCTTCGTAATCTTCTTCTTCTTCTTAAAACTCCTCCTTATCTTCACCTTCGCCTCATGGCTTCATCAACCTCCCTCTTCCCTTCCTCTATTCACCTCCGCTCCCTTACTTCCGCCGCCTCTCGAGCTCCTTCCTTCAGTTTCCTTGAGTTCAGGTTCTACCTCTTTACTCTGCTTTTCGTTGGATAATATGCAGGAATGTTCAGAATGTGTTTCTTTATGTTTTTCTCATGTTTCGGTGTTTACATTTCAAGCTAATGGATTGAGTCTCGTTCTGTTTTGGTATTTTGGGTGTGTTGTGATTTGAGGTGTTAGCTTTGAACTGCATTTTAATGGCCTTAGTAATCAGACGTGCTAATGTGATTATTTTGGCTTTTGGTTTTGGTTTTCTTGAATAATTTTGCGTGGTCAACAATGCTTTTGCTTTATTTTATTTTATTTTATTTGAATTTTTTCTTAATCTTTGTCATTTTAATGGAGCTAGTGGGACGAGATTTCGAGCGAGGAAGATTCCCACTAGCTTGCGGCTGGCACAAAATGTAGTAGTCTCTGCGAAGGCTTCCATGTCATCAAGTGCTGCTACTAAAACATCGCCGGGAAGTGAGAGTTTGAAGGCTTATGGGTCAGAGCAAATTCAGGCAAGTAATTGGGAATTTCATATTCTGAGTCAAATGTTTTTACGTTAGATGTGTTATTGTGTTAACATTTGTTATTGGGTTCATGCAAAAGATGAACATATGCACATGTAACTTCCAATTTATGTTATTTGTTAAGCATCATATTTCGTAAAAGACATTGATCATAGCTATGCTCATCACTCCTCTTCCTTCCTGATTTTTGGAATCTTTTAAAGGACTTTTTGATTAAGCCTTGGGCTTGAATCAACGAGTTAAATTGCAATTTAAATTTATGAATATACTGTTGAAATGTTAACGATAATGGGCACTCATATTAAATCATGTAAATTACATGGGCTTGTAAAAATGTTTGAACTAATCAATAAAAGTTAAGGAGTAGTTCTTACGTATATTATAAATTGTCATAATTTACTTTTATCTTGATATTTTCAATATTTTCCCGATAGTTGAATGACATTTTGAAAATAATTAAAGCATTTCTCTCAATTGTTGTCAAACCTTTTCCACTACAGACATGTTGGCATACCAATGGAAAGTTTACTTCATATCGTAAGTATTTTATAGTGCAGATATTGTGTGGGGTGGAAAAATTAGTTGGACAAATTCAGTTGCAGACTGTTATTGTTTTGTTTTTTTCTTCTTTTTTTTTTATGAGAAACAAAAGTATATATACCAGAAAAAAGAGAAACAACCTAAGATCTTAGGAAGAGGGATTCCTAAGCCTATGGAGAAGGAATCAGACACAAGGCCTCCAATCTAAGGTGTGAAGAAAATATGGGCTATTACGAAAAGATTTGTGGAGGGCACTCAAATTTAAGACTGTATAATGAAGTCTCAGCAATTTACAAAAAAATTTAACTTATTTTCGAATGACCTTGAATTCTCAATTTTTGAAGGAGACAAAGTAAGAGCTCTCATGTGGTTGTCCATAAATATTTGTCTTCATCTTTAAATTTGAGCAAACCATCTTCCACACTCTTAGGACGGACAAGATCAAAACATTCGAAGGTGTATTGCCAACCTTTGAAAGCGTAGAGCAATGAAGGAAGAATTGGTCGATAAATTCTATACCACTCTTGCATATTAGACAATTATCAGGAGATAAGAACAAATGGAAAAAAAGTTGTTTCCAAAGGACCGCTGCCTTTCCATATCATTTTGCTAAGCTGCTGATCCAAATAAGAAATCATAGATGGAAGAATTATGCTCCCCAATTTGACCGAGAAAGACCTAGATGGGTTGGGGATCCAAATAATACCATCTGCTTGCTTTACGTGGAAACATATTTCAAAGTAAGGATGTTAGATTAGGCCATTCTTCCACTGCCTTGCCCAGAAGTTGTCTTCTAAGCTTAAGATCCCAAGCTCAAGGCCAACTAGTTTCTGTGACCCAAAGAGACTTAGAACATAGACTTGCAATAGCATTAGGAAAAGGAAAAGGAAAAGAAATGTGAGACCAGTTATCTTGCCAAAATCTTTTTTTCCTTCAATTCTTGAAGTGAAATTGGAATTTTCCTCGAAAAGTTTTTTTCTTTGATAATGTCCTTCCAAGGGTTGCTACTTGCCTGAATGGGGTCCATTTAGTGTCTGCCTACTGTAATTGCTTATGATAATGCCTTTCCACAAAGACTTGTCCCCATGAAAATATCTCTAAAGTAAAGTCTGCAACCTTGGCCCAAATGTTAAGGTGACTACCACCATCATTGTCGTTTCCTTTCATGAAATGAATGCATGTACATCACACCTCCTATGGTGGTTGCCAAAGCTTCTTGTGAACTTGAAACCTGCCATGGACTTGGATCTACCATATAATAAACATGCCTTAAAGATTCAATCATAAGTCACTTTTCCTTGGTTGTATGTAAACCTCCCTTCAACCCCACCTGCTAAATTGTTAATGAAGGGCTTTTTAGGGTCTCATTTCCTTTATGTCTGAAAAGACAAAAGTTTAGGAAGGTATGGTTCTTTGATAGTATTGCTTGCAATTTTTTGGAATGGGGCGTCAACAATGGCTGCCTCATGCATAGATGTCTCACTGTGATCTTACTAGGACCGATCTTTAGTCTTTGGTTGTTATCTTGGAACCAATGGTTAGAAGGGTCAACTATGTATCAAGACGGAAGCGGAGGTTACATATGGATGGATGAATGTCGAACATCTCACTTGAACGAATTCTCTACCAATATCATGATTCTTTAGAGAGAAGATATCCTTGACCTGCCTATTATGTTGAAGCCAATGCCCAGTAAGTCTAATGATTTAGTGAATACCTAATTTATCAAGGTAAGTCTTTCCCTTTTTGAAATAGGGAGGCGTCTCCAATTTAGTGAGCTTGCTTCAAATGGTATCAGATACCAAAAAGAAAGGATGGAGAACCTTCCCTAGGAAGCAAACCTATGTAGATTTGAGGGAGAGATCCATTGTTGCATGCCAAGAAAGGCTGAACTTTCAATCCCTTCCATGTCAATATTCAGCTTATCAAATGCTGCAGCCTAAAATAGTTGTAGGCTATTTCTTCAGAATTCTGGATGACGCCTGTTACCGTTTGAAAGTACGATCTTTAGACTTCCTCATGCTCTTTAATGGAAACTATTTCTTTAGATTACATGTAATCGTGGCCTTTTATCCATTTTTTTTTTTGGAGTTCACTAAATGTGAAGTTCAATAGAAACTTTGTTCGTTATTTATTTAGTTGTTGTGATGCACACAATAGGAAAGTGTTGCTTATTGAGATGATGGTCTTTGGAGAATATACTTTATTGTGGGGCGTTGAGATGCATGCTTGAAACGCCATGCTTTCCAAAAACATTGATTTTTTTCCCCTTTTTAATTGATATCCAATTTTCTTATTGTATATGATAGAGCATTTAGTTCCCCTGTTTTTATAATGCTTTTTCAGAAACAAACATATGTACTTTAAGATTTTTGAGCTCCCTTTATCAATTTTGTGTTTAGTTTTGCATGCTCAAAAGACATTTAAAGTTGATTGATCATCAAACTTAAGTGTTTCAATATTTCAGGGTTTTAACCTAAGAGATAGTCTGTACCTAACTTAAGTCCCTTGATTTGAATCACATTGACTTGTAGAGTTTAGTATTAGTGTGCTAGGAGTTTGCATAACCAATGGGTTCTTAGGCCAATTCACAATGGTTCTCAGCAATAGGGTTTGTTCTAAAGAAGGCTTTGCCACAACACATTTAAGTGAAAGGATATTTCAAAAAGATGTATTTAACACCTCCACTGTCAGATAGCATTGAAAGCTAAAATTCTACGACCATTGCTGGAATTTTGAACCAACAGATCGGTTGAAATTTCCTCTTCCGTTAGCCAACCATTGGGTTGAATGTTGTAAGGATAAAAACTCTTGGATTTGTTTCCTGGTTAAGTGTTTGTGGTGCATACTTCCTGATTCTGATCTTGGTTCTTGCTGGTTGCTTGAAATTTTTAGGTACTGGAAGGCTTAGATCCTGTAAGAAAGAGGCCTGGAATGTATATTGGGAGCACAGGACCTCGTGGACTGCATCATTTGGTATTTGACTTTTCTAATTCTAACATGGAGAAAATCCACCCCCCAACAGAGAATGGTAAAAGTTTGATGAGATGTCTTTATTGATCTTGGCAGGTCTATGAAATATTGGATAACGCTGTTGATGAGGCTCAAGCTGGTTTTGCCTCAAAGATAGATGTTGTCTTGCATGCAGATAATTCTGTGAGCATCACTGACAATGGACGTGGGGTATGATTTATCATTTTATCTCAATTCTTTTCAGCTTGACAGCATAAAGCTCAGATTACTGCATTCAATTCATATTCCTATTAACTTGAACAGTGTTCTTCAAATTGTAATCATTATAATAGGTGTTTAACATTTTTCTTAAATTTTGATTTAGTTTATTCACAATCTTGATACTCAAAATTGTATGATTTGTTTCACTATAATCTTTTTCTAGTTGGCAGGATTACTTTTTTTATTTTTTTATGAGAAACATACTATCATTTCAGTGATATAATAAATTAATAGAAAAAGAGAGGAAAATCACTTCCAAGCCAATCAATGCTACAAAAAGAAGAGGAATTTTTTAATAAGGTTTTACTGAATGCATATCTGTAGAAGGAAATGTTTTTTTTTTTTTAATAATTATAATAATTTAGAAATTTAACTTTTGGCCTCATGCAGAATGTGCTATTAAGATTGAAATGCTGCTGTTGGACGAATGTTTTCAAGTTAATAATATGTAACTGTTGTGAACATTGTAGTTACTTTTTCCTGTGTAAACTTTTGAATTATATGTTTCAGATCCCTACTGATTTGCATCCTGCTACGAAGAAATCTTCCTTGGAGACTGTGTTGACGGTATTGCTTCATGAACAACATCTTGCTCGAGTTACCATGGAATAGTTTTTTCTTGCATGTATTAATTATGTATTCTTGGAACAATAAAAGGTGGAATATTGTCCTATGATCCATACAACTTAAAATTTATAAGTAGTTTGCTGGGTAAAAAGCATGAGAAAAGGGAGCAGAGTAATTTTGTGCATACTTCATGTTTGATTTGCAATTAGCATTTCTTTTTTCTAAAACAACAGTGAACTATCGGCCCTAAAATGTTACTGAATGATAATTCTTTTAATAATAAAATACCAAGTAACGAACTGAAACAGCACCTTAATTTTGAAAATGATTTTAGGGTTTTCATTTGAATAGAATCCAAGTTTTCGTCAAAAAATATTCAAAAGGATTCAAATTTGAAGGTTATTGTAATCATATATGTTTATGAATTTAGATGGTTTTGTTTTCATAGGAAACGACTTGTATATTTTATATATAAAAGAATAGAAAAAAAGGAGATGCTATCCCCACACACCATGGAGATTACACAAGGATTCCTAATTGGGATAAACTTCTACAAAATCGTAGTTACAAAAATCGTTATAAAGAGAGCACCATAATAAAAGTGCTCCCTCACATACTTCATATAGTTTTAATATTCAACTTTGTTTATGGTGCTTTCAAATACCCATACAAAAAGAAATCTTTCAATAATCGTTGTTTGGATCATGACCCTGTTCCTTTTCTACTTTGCAATCTGATTTTATTTTTGCATTCTGTGGCTGTACTGCTGCCATGGCAGTTAACCAGGTTTTAATGAAGTTGTTATTTCTAACAAGAACTGTGAGCACAGCAATATTTCCTTTGTAATCCTACCAAGGTGGCGAGACTGATCTGCTATTGAATTGTACAGGTATTACATGCAGGTGGCAAGTTTGGTGGTTCCAGCAGTGGCTACAGTGTCTCAGGTGGACTACATGGCGTGGGTCTGTCCGTGGTTAATGCCTTGTCTGAGGTTTGTCTGTAATCCATTTTATAGAGTTTTGTCTGAAATTAAACTCTTGGATGCATGGTTAAACTATAACTTGTAGTTTCTCCTTTCTATATTCATCGGTATAAAACCGGCAGCTTCAATCTCCTTTTACTGGTGAGACAACAATGAACAAACAAATAACTTGAAATAATCTGTGCATAAAACTCATGTCACCATTGGTGCCTGAACAGATAGAAATTGAAGGGTGGTTGAGAGTTTCGACTTCCTGTTAATAGTTACTTTAAAATGACAAATTTTTACTTGCTTTGCAGTCGTTGGAAGTTTGTATTTGGCGTGATGGGAAGGAGTTCCACCAAAAGTATTCTCGTGGAAAGCCGGCAACCACTCTAACATGCCATGTTCCTTCAAATGAGTTGAAAGATCATCAAGGAACTCGCATCAGATTTTGGCCCGACAAAGAAGGTTTTACTTGACCATCATGGTCTGAAATATTTCTGTTGTTATTATGTTAATTTATATTTTTCTTTTGGTTAGCGTTTAACAATGTTGATTTAATTTTCAATTATTTACCAAGCATAAGAACTTTTCTTGTTGGTCTTTCTTTCCACTTTAATTCACGTGTTCCTTCTAATTTTATCCAGTCTTTACTACTGTAATACAATTTGACTACAACACAATATCTGGACGAATTAGGGAGCTAGCTTTTCTAAACCCCAAGGTACTTTTTGTATTTTTTTTTGTTTTTATTTATATAAAATGATGCCTTCCTTGATACTAGTCAGCCTTTTCCGTTTTCTGGAAAATCATCGACCAAGCATATGTGGCAGGAGATAGCTTATTGGTTTCTATTACATGTTGGAAGCCTCTGAAACAATGTATGACTTACCACCCCTGTGATATGAACCCTTGCAGTTGACTATAACCCTTACAAAGGAAGATGATGATGTGGAGAAGAACCAATACAATGAATACTGCTATGCTGGTGGCTTGGTTGAATATGTGGCATGGTTGAACAGTGATAAAGTATATCATCTTATTGTTCTTCCCTTTGTCTTCTTATTTTTATTTTTTTAATTTCTTCTTCAGTTCTTGTCACAGGTCTTCCCTAATTTTCATTTCATGTTTCATACACTATACATTATAAAGCTAACTATAATCACTGCTAATGCTCATTTTCGTTTCTCCAGAAACCACTTCATGATGTATTTGGTTTCAGAAAAGAAACGGATGGAGTAGCCATTGATATTGCACTTCAATGGTATGTCATTTAATCTTGGTGTTCTCTGGATTTTCTCAAATCTTCTATTATTTTGTGTGAACAATGAGAATCCGCGAAACTATTACTCTCAACGCCGGATTGATTGAAAATCTCCATACTAGAAATATGTTAATTTTTTTTTTCAACTGTTGTGATTTGATTCTTACCTGGTTATTGGACTGTCAGGGCTTTGCAAAGTCAGAATTGTGAATTTTGATTGCCAGTCATAGCATGAGATGATAAGAATCATAGGGCAACTAACACTTATTTGGCAAGAATCTTAATATTGTCTGCCTTGTTGATTGTTTACTAGGTGTGCAGATGCATATTCAGACACAATTCTGGGATATGCTAATAGCATACGGACTATTGATGGTGGCACCCATATAGATGGGATGAAGGCTTCATTGACGAGAACACTAAATAATCTTGGAAAGAGATCAAAGATTATTAAGGTGGTATTGTTTCCAGAGTTTTATCTAGTTCATAATGTGTTTGTACGTGCATTGCTCATTTACATGGTCAGAGATTTGAATATAACCTTTGCTCGATAATGGCATATTTTGCATTAACTTTATGGCTGCTTCATGTTCTGGATTCTTGTGGTCAAATACGAAGATGGAGTAAATTACTTTTCTGCTTTATTCAGAAAAATCTTCTTCTTTTCCTTGCTCTCTCCTTCCTACTTCCTACCAAATGCCCAAACCCCCCATTCCTAGGTATCATAAAAATGGAAAATAAAAGGTAATTAAATTATCTTTCTAATAACCTTAGGGTCCTTCCATAACCAGGCTTCTTTTTGTGTCAATTGGGTTTTGTTCTGGTAACGTCCCAATTGTCTTCAAGATGGAACTCTCTCCTCTGCCCCTTTCTTTTGTAGCTTCATACATGGTAAAACTGTGTTTCTCATAAAAAAAAAGAGTTGTGGTCTATATGGTCATGCAGAACAGAAACTTGATGTGATATTTCTAAACAGGGTTAAATATTTTTATTATATGCCTCTATGAGTCCTTAAACCAGAATTTACTTTGCAATCTCATGCAAAATTTGTTTGTGGTCATGGAAATCTTATATTTAAAATCCAGAAGAGGAATCCTAGTTCTATTTTCGTGCTCCAAAAATCTTGGAGACTTCTTTTTGTGGCAATTATGGTCATCATTAGAAAGAAAATGCTGAAATGCTGAGGACTAATCTCTATCATCCTTTAGCGCAAGTGAAACGAAGGAAGCCATATATTTTTCTGATAGGAAGGAGGATAGGCCAGTGTAGATCATATTAGCTTCCATGTTACTTTTGGGCTGCTACCTCTAATTATTATGGGAATTATTATTATTATTATTATTATTATTATTATTTTGGTTCTAACCAACTATATGGTCTAGGGTGAATATATTTAATCTTCCTCGTTTTGTAGCTTTTTTGGCATTAATTGATTATTTTCAAATGCACACACACCCTCATTCTCTTGTCATGTGAGGTGCGACAAGAATATTTGATTTTCGTATAGTTCAACTAAAGAATTATTAATAGAAGGAAATAAACTAAACACAATTATGTATTTCTTCCAGGACAAGGATATCAGCTTAAGTGGTGAACATGTTAGGGAGGGATTAACCTGTGTTGTCTCTGTGAGGGTCCAAAATCCAGAGTTTGAAGGACAGACTAAGGTACCCTTCCAAAATTAATTTTAATTTTGATCTCTGGGCCAGTTTATACTGCTATTATCTTATGCTTTCTCCTCTATAATGTGTGTCTTACTTTTTTGTCTATTCCTAAAAGACAAGGTTGGGAAATCCTGAAGTGCGAAAAGTAGTTGAGCAATCTATACAGGAGTACCTAACTGAATACCTGGAGTTGCACCCTGATGTCCTTGATTTAATCCTTTCAAAATCTTTAAATGCTCTCAAGGTGATTTTCTGTAAGACAACGAAGTTGTATGCATGATTCATTCCTTTCAGAAGTGCTCTAATTGTGGGATTCCATTTTGTAATTCCTCTTAACTTGAAGTAATTATTTTCTTCTATTATTCTTATTTTCAGGCTGCTCTGGCTGCTAAGAGGGCAAGGGAGCTTGTGAGACAAAAAAGTGTCTTGCGTTCATCATCACTTCCCGGCAAACTAGCTGATTGCTCATCAACTGATCCTGAGGACTCAGGTATTAAGCTTACGCTTGGATGGAAATAGAGAAACAAGTTTCCATTGATGTAATATTTTCTATAAGAATTCCATTGATATGGATGGAATTTCCAGTTTCATCTAGGCTTTATAGCATGGAGATTACTTAATAGTATTTTACTGGTTTTAGTCTAGTCAAATATTGTCTAAAGTCAATTGGTTTACTGCCCAACTTTTCCAGTTATTTGTAACATAGCAACTCTCCCAGTGAGACTTCACCATAGTTAGGGGCCATTAGGCACCCTCACCAACCCACTCTGAAATTTAGATGGTTATAATATAACATATCTAAATATTCATTCTATATATATATCTGAAGTCTCGTGTTCCATTCTCTCGGGAAAAAAGCATCTTCAGTGTAGGTACTTAATCATACTTTGAGTATCCAATATCGCCATGGTTGGCCTAATGGTCATTTAGTATCAAGGTAAAAATAGATGGTTTAAAGAGAATGAGTTTAGGCTATGGCGGTTACTTGGGATTTAATATTCTATGAATTTTCTTGATAACAAATGTTGTCGGTCAAATGTTGTTCCTAAGTTGAGTATGCAAGTTGACCTTAATACTCAAAAATATTAAAAAAAAAAAAAAGAAAAAGAAAAAAGCAGTTGTCGAACTTGTCATATACTAAAAAATATTGAAAATTTTCTTGGAAATGTTCGCATTATGAGTGCATTTTATTCTTTTTTCCTTTTTTTGAGAAATATATTTTTCTTTAATCTCATTTTTCCTCTGCCGCAGAAATTTTCATTGTTGAGGGAGACTCTGCAGGTGGAAGTGCAAAACAGGGCCGTGATAGGCGCTTCCAGGTATCCTCTGATTGCTAATGATTGGTTTGCTTTGTAAATCCCAAATATTAGGATAGTTTCTTCTTCTTTCTTTCTTTCTTTCTTTCTTCTTCTTTTTTTTTTTTCCTTTTTTTCAAAATAATGTGAAAAGAATTGATTTTAAATGAGGAAGGCCTAAAAACGGAGCACTCAAGTTCTCTTTCCCGAGGATCTATAATATCACAACTTCTAAAGAGAGTTGGTTTATCAATGTTGGTCTGAATCCTCCAGCAATTGGGTTTTCCTATTAGAAGAAATTTGACTGATGAGGAAGCTCTGGAATAGTTGTCTTTATAAAATGTGTTGGTCTCTCCAAAATGATGGTTAAGATTCTAAATCAATTAGAAGAAATTTGTCCTTATCAATTAAGCCGTCCAAAAGTTAAGATTCTAAATCATGGTCTCTCGAAAATGATGGTTGCTTCATGGTGTACTCCTTAATTCCTGTGTTGAAACATGGCCCTTTATCGATTGAGATGACTAAGGCCATCTTGAAAGCTAAGGTGTCAAAGAAGGTGAAGATTTTATTGTGGGTTTTTGTCCAAAGAAAAATTAATGCCAGGGGATCTGCTTCAAAGGAGGTGGCTGAATTATTATAGGAGTTAGTATGCGACATTAATGAGTTATAGGAGTCAATTAGACTTCTCCATTTGGTGTTCTTTCTCTAGATCTTTTTGTATAATGATCTTGTTCATATTGCAGCCATGTGGGAGTCTTTTTTGTTACCCTTTCGCTACGTGGGAATTGTTAGGAACCGGGAGAGAAAACTGGAAAGATCAGATAAATTGGAAGAAATCTCACTTTCTATTGAAGAATGAAATTCGCCACTATATAGTCTGGTATGACTAAATCAAATCTAATTCAAATAACTAGATCAAATCTAATTCAAATAACTAGATCAAATCTAATTCAAATAACTAGATCAAATCTAATCCAAATAACTAGATCAAATCTAATCCTAACAATTCCTCCCTTAAATTGAACACGAATAGTAATCCGTTTATATCTAATGTTTTCTAACAAACTTCCACCCTCAGGTAACTTCAACAATTCCCATGTGTCATTTCTGTTTATTGCGATCCATGACTTGCCTCCATTTCTCACTCTTCAATGCGTCTTCAAAGTTTACAGGTTCAGTAGTGGTAAACATGGCCGAGTGAGCTTCATCATCTTCTTTACAAAAAAAACTTCTCCTATTGCATAGTCTCTCATCCGGATTGCTTCATCATCATCTTCACAAAAATCTTCTCCTATTGCATAGTCTCTCATCCAGACTGGTGATCTCTTATTCCTCGCCTTATTCGAGCTAGGAGAGCTTGCTTCACAGCCAAAGAGCCAGAGGAAATATTTTCCTCTGTAGTATTTTCATCTGCCGCTTCTATATCATTATTTTCATCTCGCTTTTGACTAATGAAAATAATAGAGTCTGTAAGCTTTTGACTCTTCACTAGCTCCCAGCAAAACATAACTCAAACTCTTATCATCTAGCTTAGTTCTCCGAGCTGCCTCCTCTTTTGTCTCTGAATCAACTCGAGCTCACAATATTGTTCTTCTTCCTTTCGCTGCAGCTCCAGAACTAATCGTCGCTGAGCTTTTTCTACCCTTCTCCTATTCTCTTCCACCATTTTATCTTGCTCTTCTCTCTCTTTCCGTGCTTGTTCTTCTTTTTGTCTTGTAGCAGTAAGAGCGGCTTCTTTCTCTTTCTCAAGCTGCACATCAACATCATCAAACAACTTCTTGCGACCTTCCTTTATTCGTCTCTGTATTTCTAATTTAGTCTCTTCGGAGTTTAGCCTTTCTTCAACATTCTTCTGAATTAGTTCTTCCATCCTCCTAGCTGCTCTTCTTCTAACTTCTTCAACTCTGCTTCATGCCTTTTCTTCTCTTCTTCCTCTTTCTTAAGCTTCTGTTTGCGTCGGTGGCTGAGGGAACTTGAACGGCTACTTCTCCTGGAACGGGTAGTGGAATGATAGGGAGAAGGACTTGGGTCCCTTCTACTTCTCCGATTATGGTGATAGGAATTGGAGCGATGAGTGTACGACAAAGACCTTGAACCACTTCTCCCCATAAGTTTCAATTGAGTTTGAACGACTGCTACAGGTTGAGATATAGCATGCAGTACGAACATTCGATTCAAAGACATCTTTGTCTCCATGATTAAGCCTCTCTTAAGATGAAACACCTTGCATGTTCCATTTTGAAATAAAATGCTAATCCCCTTTGCTTGCAATTTCCCAATACTCAGCATATTGTTCTTCAGCTCTGGCACATAGAACACTCCTGTGATTATCAGTATGATTCCATTCACTTGCAGCTGTACATTACCTTTTCCCGTTACCTCCATGCTTGAGTTGTTGTCCAGCTTCACTGAATCTCTTAAACTTCCATCAAAATCTGGAAAATATTCCTTCTTCCCACACATATGATTGCTACATCCCGAGTCAAGGAACCACATATCTTCTCTATTGGCCTTATTCATATTCACGTAAGCCATCAGCGGCATCTCTTCTTGAGTCTCTGCATAGTTTGTCTCTCTCCTTGCTCTGACATTCCCATTGAAAATGTCCTAGCTTGTGACAATTATAGCACTCCACTGTGGCCTTGTTGAAGGTTTGTCTGCCTCGTCTGGTATTGCTTTGACATTCCCATTGAAAATGTCCTAGCTTGTGACAGTTATAGCACTCCACTGTGACCTTGTTGAAGGTTTGTCTGCCTCGTCCCCTTCCTCTACCTCCAAAGCTTCCACGACTTTGACTCCTTCCTCCAGCAGACTGCACAAATGGACTCTCCATCGACATACTTTTATTATGACACACATTAAAGACTGCAGCTTCTTGCTTTAACTAGTTCAGGGCATAGCTCTGATACCACATTGTTAGGAACAGGGAGAGAAAACTGGAAAGATCAGATAAATTGGAAGAAATCTCACTTTCTATTGAAGAATGAAATTCACTATTATATAGGAGAATCAAATTTGATATGACTAAATCTAGTATGACTAAATCAAATCTAATTCAAATAACTAGATCAAATCTAATCCTAACAAGAATATCTCATTTTCCCTTTTGTATAATCTTCTCGGCCATATGTATTCTTTTGTTTCTTATTAAAAAAGTTAAAAACTAATAATTTGACCTATGGTTTTCTTTCCATATCCTAATTTGTTGTGAGTGGTTTAGATTTTGAATGGGTCTGAATTCGAAGTTTTTGATAATATAGGAAGAAAGAAAATAGAAGGAAAAAAAATTTGATAATTTTATTTTTGTGCCTTTTCTCTTCATGATAATTGGTTGATCAACTACACCTCTGAGGACAAAGTACTTTTTGGGGCGGTGTAAGGTTTATGTGAGATTCCACATCGGTTGGAGAGAACAAAGCATTCTTTATAAAGCTGTAGAAACCTCTTCTTAGCATATGCGTTTTAAAAACTTTGGGGGGAAACTCGAAAGGGAAAGTCCAAAGAGGATAATATCTGCTTGCGGTGGGCCTGGGCCGTTACCGTTTATTAGTGGGAAAATATTAGAGTTGTTATTAGGATACTAAAAGAGCATACTCAAAAAGTAGCTACGCATACAATAGGGTGAAGGGGTTTAAGGAACCCAATTATGTTGTTTTATTTTTAATATTCTTGACAATTCTGCATGTCCTAACCTACATGTGATGTAATATTCTTAAAAAAGGGATACATATGATTTTTATACCGTATATATTGTCCTTTTCCTTTTTATAATACTCCAGTCCTTTAGTCACTTCAGTTTATTCATTTTTAATCAGCGAAATCAGGTTTATCGTACAATCTATAGTCAAGTACTTGCATGCATAATAATACAAAAATGAATGTACTTGCATGGTATCCTTAATTTGTTATAAATGCTCAATGCAGGCTATTCTCCCTTTGAGGGGAAAAATCTTAAACATTGAGAGGAAAGACGAGGCTGCAATGTACAAAAATGAAGAGATTCAGAATTTAATTCTTGCTCTTGGACTTGGAGTCAAGGTTTATAATATTTTTTGTCCTTAAATTGTTTAAAATTATTACTTTTTCCTTAGATTTTGCATTTACTTTTGGCGTCAGGGGGAAGATTTTAAAAAGGAGGCTCTTCGTTATCATAAAATAATCATATTGACGGATGCTGATGTAGATGGTGCTCATATCCGAACTCTGCTCTTAACATTTTTCTTTAGATATCAGGTACAGTAATTGTCACTATGATTTATTGCTAGGGACATGTAAGATGCAAAGCAAACTTGAAATGCACAATTTAATGGAACGAAAACGAATTTGATGTTTTGTTCTTGATCACAGAAAGCTTTGTTTGACCAAGGTTGCATTTATATTGGAGTTCCACCTCTTTACAAGGTTCGCTTTCCCTCTTGATGGGTCAGAGATGCAGAATCATGCTTAGTTTTAGTTCTTTTTGTGGTTAATTTCTTTGCCTTGTTCTTTTTTTTTTTTTTTTTTTTTTTTTTTGGAAATCACCAGGTTGAGAGGGGGAAGCAAGCGTACTATTGCTATGATGACAAGGAGCTAAAAAGGCTTCAAAGTTCCTTCCCTTCAAATGCATCATATAATATTCAGAGGTTCAAAGGTATTCAAAGTAGTATTGATTCCACCTCATTGATGTCTTTGATGGATCCGTTGCCTCTTTACATGATATCATACATACCATTTGGTGGCTTTTAATCCTTGTTTTGTGTTGAGTTATGCTAATGTTTGAGGGTGCTTTAGGCATCTCACACTTAAAATCACCATGGTTGGGTGTAAGAATAAAGATACATAAAATCACCATGGTTTGGTGTAAGAATAAAGATGCTTTCTGTAACCACCCAAGCCCACCGCTAGCAGATATTGTCCTCTTTGACTTTCCCTTTAGGGCTTCCCCTCAAGATTTTTAAAACGCGTCTGTTAACGAGAGGTTTCCACTCCCTTATAAAGAATGTTTTGTTCTCCTCCCAAACTGACGTAGGATCTCACGCTCTTGGTAAAAGTTAAAAGTAAAGCACTGCTTTTGGCCCAAGTGCTTGGTTGAAAGCATTTCAAAAGGTACTTGAGAGAGTAGATCTAGACACCAAAGTCATTTGTAAGTACTTCAAGTGAGATACATTTGCTGACCTTATTTATTTTAAAAGCACTCCCATATATTCTCTACGAGGACTTATCTTCCCATTGTGCAAAATGTATAAATAATATAGTTACAATAAGTGGTGTTAATGCTTGGACCAAATGGACTTATCTTCCACTACGCTGGCTGTTTTGTTTATTTGTTCTTTTTAAAAAAAAAAAGATTGGGAAATTTGGAAGAGAGAAAATGAAAATGTAACAGCTCAAGCTCACCGCTAGTAGATATTGTCCTTTTTGGACTTTCCTTTTCAGGATTTTAAAGGTTTCCACACCCTTATAAAAAATGTTTCGTTTTCCTCCCCAACCGATGTGGAATCTCACAATCCACCTCCTTTCGAGGCTCAACGTTCTCACAAGTACTCGTTTACTTCTCCAATTGATGTGGGACCCCCACCCTTTGGGGCCCAGCGTCCTTGTTGGCACACTGTCTCATGTCTACTCCCCTTCGGGGTTCAGCCTCCTCGTTGGCACATGGTCCATTGTCTGGCTCTAATACCATTTATAACAGCCCAAGCCTACTGCTAGCAGATATTGTCCTCTTTGGCTTTCACTTTCGGGGCCCAGTGTCGTAGCAGACACGTTTTATAACCTTGAGGGGTAGTCCGAAAGGAAAAGCCCAAAGAGGACAATATCTGTTAGCGGTGGGCTTGGGCTGTTATAGTAGGGAGGTGAGGAACCCCTAAGCCAAAACGGGAGGGATCAAACAAAATGCCTCCAATCTAAAGAGTGGACAAGAGGGAAAGGGATGTTACAAAAGGAATTTTGTAAGGCGCTCCAATTTTAAGGCCGTGTAAAACTGATCTAGCTGTTTTTTTACTTCACATTTTGTGATGGAAGGTTATATTTTCCTATAATGAAATAATGTTAATACTAATAAGCTGTTGTTATATAATAGTAAGTTAGTACACCCTCTAAAGTTCCCATGTTAGTATGCTTTTAAAATATTCAGGTTTTGTAAGTACGCTAAATATTCTTCCACTTCAGGTTTGGGAGAGATGATGCCTGCCCAACTATGGGAAACAACAATGGACCCAGAACAAAGGATGCTGAAGCAGTTGGCAATTGAGGATGCAGCAGAAGCAAATGTCGTATTTTCATCTCTTATGGGTGCCCGAGTAAGTAGCTCATACCCACACAACTGCTTAACTTCAATCCAGTTCAGCAGTAGGCACCATTTGCATCAATTTGGTATTTTCTTACACGTTAAAAGTTGCTCAATTGACAAATAAGGCACCATATCAACAGAAGTATATTAGATACTGGTCAATCCATTTAAACTCGAGAAGATTAGCATCGATTTCTTTTACTTAACAAAGCCTCCATAGTTTTTTTTTTGCCTTTAACATCGTATTTGTCTGTTGTCCATGCCCATCGGTTATTCGCTAGGTTTAGGTGAAAAGTGTAACAGCCCAAGCCCACCGCTAGCAAGGTTTTTAAAACGCGTCAGCTAGGTTCCATACGCTTATAAAGAATGCTTTGTTCTCCTCCCTAACTGATGTGGGATCTCACAATCCACCCCAGGGCGCAGTGTCTTCACTAGCACTTGTTACCTTTTCCAATCGATGTGGGACCCCTCAATGCACCCCTCTTTGGGGCCCAGCGTCCTTGTTAGCACACTGCCTCATGTCCACCCCTCTTCGGGGCTTTGCCTCTTCGCTGACACATGGCCCGGTATCTGGCTTTGATACCATTTGTAACAGTCCAAGCCCATCGCTAGCAAATATTGTCCTCTTTGGACTTTTTCTTTCGGGCTTCCCCTTAAGGCTTTGGAAACGCGTCTGCTTGGGAGAGATTTTTACACCCTTATAAAGAATGCTTCGTTCTCCTCCCCAACCGATGTAGGGTCTCATAGTCCTACATAGTTATGGAACACAACAAATTGCATTAAAAACACCTAACAACTACTAATTAAATTCAATGATATTGCTCTATCATTATCTATCTTGACTTCCATGAGTTTAGTTTAAAAGTATTTATTATGAATTTCCGCATATGTGATTAATGCATGCATGAGTGACGTCACTAATTTGTCTAAGCAAACTAGGGCCCTTACAAAAAGGGTAGGCTTTTCCTTTTTCCTTTTTCCTCTTGAAGCATAAAATTTACCTGGCGTAGTATCTCCACAAGTCGAAAAAAATCTATGTTCTGATCAGTGAATTTATATAGTTTGTTTTTTTTTTTTTTTTTTCAGGTGGATTTCCGAAAGGAACTTATTCAGAAATCTGCAAATATGATCGATCTCGGGCATCTAGACATATAAGTATATGTTATTAGCTTCTAATCCAAGAAGGGTAGGAACAGGATGGTCAGCTTTGGAACTTGCTTGGTTGAAGTATTTATCTCATTGGCATTCATCATCGTCGTCGATGGTGTTCGGCAGACGAACATAGCTTTGAATCAGGCCCACACCATGGGAGTGCTGTGCTCATTGGTCTGTATAGAAGGAGAAAAATTTAGGGGACTCCAGGGTGGTACAGTTGAGATGTCATTTTGATGCATGAAATGTTGTTGGAGCAAGTTTTGGATGTTTCTGGCTTGGCTCCATTCTGCGTTTCTCCTTTTTGCCCCATCCTGATGTTGTATAATTTTACACATATTTAGACAACTTAGACGACCCTGTTTTCTCATTGGCTATCTAAGATCGATCGAAGCTTGGTTTGAAGTATCGAATTGTACCACTCGACTTATAGGAGTTTATCTTAACTCATAAGAGTTTGTTCGGGGTTCTTGGACTATCTAACCAGTCAATTATTGTCTTTGTAGTCCGTGCACTCCTTGCGTGATCTCTGCATAAGTTTGAAGTGTACTCTAAAAAATCTAGGGTTTAGGATTCCTAAGACATATATGAACCATGTCTCGAAGTGTACTCATCAATCTAGGCAAATCTTTTATTGCGACTACTCGACAATCTCTCTAATAGACTCCACCACACTTTCTATCAAGCGTTAACTAAATACATACAAAATTTAAATAAATTAAATCCCGATAAACTAAAATTGAGTCTAAATGGTTTTTGAACAAAAATTTAGAACATAAGTATTATGATGAGGTTGCTTATTAGTTCCCATCGCTTTGAAATTTTTCATCTATTTTCTCGGAGATAGAACGCGGGGATTCCTCACCCCAAAATTTGTGGGGATCGAGTTCCCATTGTCAATTTTTCTCAATTTGTTATTCTTTTAATAAAATAGTTATTAAGTTTTCATTTTTAGTATAATTTTTATTTAAAAAATGGTAAAAAAAATATAATAAATTAATATATTTTATAAGAAAAACGTGTATATATATATATATATCTAAAATGTTCTATCAATATAATTTTTAAAAATTTAATCAGTAGGAATTCCCTCTTCGTTTGGGTGGGTCCCGCAGTACGCTAACCCAGCGAACCATATATATATATATTATTCAAAAGAATATGTTTGGGTATGTGCGAAAATTCCCCCAAGTGGAATATCCATTTCGAGTATACGAATCTAAATCCCAGCTTCCAGGACCCAAATTTTTCATAGGCGATCTTCCGCCATGGGAGCACAATCGCTCATCATAGAAGTAAGTTTTATCATCTCTTTCATATTTTCGTCTTTAAACTCTGCAATTCCCTTAGGTAGTTCTGCTAAGGTTTTCGCAGAATAATGTTGTATGCAAGGCGATACTATGTTAGTTTTCCACTTCGAATGCACGGTCTTAATCGTATTAGGTGTTTATTAGCATTACAATCCCCATTGCTGCGAGGTTCTGTATTTGTAATGAAGCATGCGCTTGAGATGTTTATGCATTGTCAGTATGGTTGTTTTATTTTGTGCACTGTGTTTGATGGAAATGATGATCTGATGTGAGGGATGATAGTATCGTCCGGTATTCTACATTCTCATGAAAACTGGTTGGGAGTGGTTCGTAAGTTCAGATGGTTAGGGATTCAGATTGACTGGCAAGATATGTTTTGCGTTACTGGTTTTGATCCTTGGACGAGAAAACTTCTTGGGATTTTTCTCATCTTTTTATCGAAGGACAGGATCATTAGTTCAATGAAAGTACATTTACCAAACTTGCTTTTTAAACCTTGATTAAAATAAGCACATAATTTTAGTTTTTATTCTGTCATGTACAGTACAGTCCTAGGCTATTGTTCCTCTGATCTGCTATTGTTCGTTTGATCTCAGTTCCTTATATGTAATAACTCAAGCCCACTGCTAGCGATATTGTTCTCTTTGGACTTTCCATAGCTAGCAGATATTGTCCTCTTTGGACTTCTTCGATATTATCCTCTTTGGACTTTTTCGATATTGTCCTCTTAGGGCGTTCCCCCATTAGCAGATATTGTCCTCTTTGGACTTCTTCGATCTTGTCCTCTTAGGGCGTTCCCCCACTAGCAGATATTGTCCTCTTTGAGCTTTCCCTTTCGAGCTTTCCCTCAAGGTTCTTAAAACGTGTTTTTTACGGAAAGGTTTCTACACCATTATAAAGAATTTTTCGTTCTCCTCCCAAACCGATGTAGGATCTCACATTGTAACTTCGTAAAATCATCACTGTTATAGTCTCATCTTAGCTCTGGGAATACATATCAAGTATCCATGTAGGTTCATTCCCAGTTTTCAGTTCTAATTTAATTGGATTTTTAACGAATTAAAACATCAAAAGTGATGAAGTATAGGTGCAAGAAATGTAATCTAGATTAAAATTCAATGAATAGTAAGCAACCCACAGTTTTAAGAGTCGCTTTCCTAAAGAATGTTAAAAGATTTCAGGTTTCTAATGAAGGTTTCCCCAACAACGGAGCCAACCTTGATAAAGACAGCAGGATAGGCAACTGGAGCGTCTACTTTAATTTCGCAGCCGGGTTTAGCATATATCTCCCCTGTCCATATATGTTGCCATGAAGAACTTTCTCCCAAAGGAAAGTAGGCTTTTACATTGTTCTTGCCTTTGTCAAGGACAGGCACAACTAGGATCTCAGAACCAACCAAAAACTGCTGGTGACCCAATGTGAGCACATACTCATCTTCTGGGTAGTGAACAAATAGGTGGCGGCATACGGGCAGGCCCCTTTGAGCGGCTTCCTGTATTGTTTAGGGTCATAAGATCTGCGTGGAGTTTGAAAATATAGAAGTTGCAGATTAAATGTAAAAGGTTTTCTTATTTACCTTCACAAGTTGGATTCTGTAGAACTTCCATGCACAATAGACCTTGGCAAAGCGAGCAAACTGAGACAATGTTCGGTCGTTCGAGTAGAATTGGCTGTTGCAGGTAGGTTTGTTTCCCTGCATGCAGAAGACAGTTGAAAAACATGACTTAACAAGACTGTGTATATTGGAAATTTGTAAAGGATAACGATATTCCGATGCAAGTTTTGCATAGTTGTAAGAGTATATATATGATAACTAAGTCTTCCCTTTCATTTGGATGCAAACCACAGTTGATTTGATATAAATCTCGGTGGAGGTTTTAAGCTTCCATTTGTTTGGGGAATTTTTAAGAAGATAAGATAATGCAATCTTGAAAGCTTGCTCCTTATGCATTCAGCATTTTGTGCTTTGATGGTAAATTTGATGTCGCACATAATGTTTTTTCAGGTTTTGATTCTTGTCAGAGAAAGGGGCAGAGAAAACAAGGGAAAAAAAGTAAAGTTTGTTCGTAACTTACTTCATGGGTTCTGAAAACAGTGGTAAAAGCGTTTAACTCCATCCATCGTAGAAGCAGTTCCTCACTTCTTCGGTACTTGATGAACGGTAAATTTACTGCACAGTACCCTCCTATATCACTGTGATTAAAAGCATACCCTGAAAGTCCACTGCTTAAAAGGCCAGTGACAGCACTCTTTATCCCATCATTGGCTTGCCAGCTTACCATTTGGTCTCCTTCCCAAAATAGCATCCCCCATTTGGGACTGTTTCTGAAACCAGCTCTCATGAAGAAAACTAAGGCCTCTTGTGGGTCTTCTTTCTCCTTACCAACAAGTTTACTTTTCCATTCATCTGCAAATTCTCTGTTTATCTGCGCCCACATTTCTGGGTATCTGTTATGTGCAGTAATAGGATCTTCACCTGAAATTATGGTTCTGAATCTGTGAGTAATAGTAATATCTCACAGGTGGGGAAGTACATTGGTTACATCGATTTTCACAAAAAACTGAATTAAGTTACTGTCCAGGATGCAGACAAAAATGTAGAAAAAATAGGGAATCTGGAACTCATGTGATGACCCTGCTTTGTGGGAATTACGAAATTTCATGTTCATTTCAACTTGGATGGTCAATATTCAAGAAACTATGCAAGATTGATCAATGCAAATAATTCCTTCCTTTCCAGTTCATCTCTAACCAGGGAAACGACTTATCATGATTTCTGTGATAGATTTTAACAATAAAGTACTATACATTATATAAGAATCTCTTTTCTTGTCATGGATATTAAGAAAATCAAGGTAAAAACTCCCCCTTAGGTAGTTATTTTGAAATTAAGTACCAATATTAGCATTGAACAGTCATTTTTTCTTAGTATAACCTGAATATAGGGTGGCATCTATGGGCAAGCCTTCGCCGAAATCAGCCATCCATCCTCTCACTCCATCATTCACCATTTCTTGTAGAATTTCCTTGAACCAACTGGAAGTATTTGGGTGCGTAAGATCCAACATTCCCACATCAAAAGCTGTGTTGGGAACCATGTAGGGTTCTCCATTCTTCTTTACCAAGATCCCCAACCCCTTTGCTTCCTCATAAAGGTTTCTCCTTCTGTTCTGCTTCTGATCAATCTAAAGTCATGCAGAAATTTGAAACTGAAATGATTAGTCTTTAATATTTTATCTCAATTTTGGTGCTCATATCCACTAAATGCGTAGCAAGCTTTCTACTTATGAAGCCATTAAGAAAGTGTCAATGTTTCTTAGCTGGAAAACAGGATTTACAACATAAAGGGGGAGAAGAAAGAAAACTAGATGAAAATCCATGAGTGTAGTAACAATATTTCTGATTTGAGTGTTGAAGAAGAGAATACCGGAGCTAGGCAGGGATTGCAGTATGTCATTACTTTGATATGCTGAGCATCAAGATCTTTAATTAATTGTTTCCATCCACAGTACCTTGTTGTGTCAACTTCCCAGTTCCACCACAGTTGTGATCCAATTACTGTTTCTCTCTGCCCCACCCAGTCCTACATAAAGTTCTTTTTTTAGATAAGAATGAACGTAAAAGAATGTGTTGAGGATTGTTGGGAGAGAGTCCCACGTTGGCTAATTTAGGAAATGGTCATGGGTTTATAAGTAAGGAATACATCTCCGTTGGTATGAAGTCTTTTGGAAAAGCCCAAAGCAAAGCCATGAGAGCTTATACTCAAAGTGGACAATATCATACCATTGTGGAGAGTCGTGATTTTTAACAGAATATCTATGCATTTTAGAAAAACTATACCATATAACGTGCATCATTAGGTTTGATCCAGAAATCTAATACTAACTTATGGAAATGACAAATTTGTACTACCTGCAACCAAAATGCAGAAATAGGAACTTCATGAGCTTTTAGCACATCCCAGATTTGGCGGACGGCATCAGTGCCACCCTGCATCCCTACCACAGCACCTGATATTATCCATCCAGGAAGCTCTGGAGGCCTCCCAATGGTCTCAGTGAAACGTTCAATAAGCTCTGATGGCGAGTTCCCATGCAATATCCTTCCTTGAATGGAATTTCCATAAATCTGCCATCTCCGGTTCCCAGAAAATAGGAAAACTGTAAGTTTAAAATTCTTATATGAGCGCCTTACTTGTGCTAGAATTTAGATCTTTTCTCTTTACATTATAACTTTGTGTTAAAACAAATCTCTTGCTTTTATTTATAGTATATTTGTTATGTTTCTTTTTTACCTTCTACTTTTCAAATATTTCATGGCTTCTTAGGTTGAAGAAAGGCAGTAAAGAGCTATAGATATTGAAAGAGTACCTGAATCTGAACCATATCGTTCTTTGTTAGATCAAATACAGAGTACTCGTATCCTTCAAGGTACAGAGACCTCATTCTGGATGTTATGTAAAATGGAGAAGGAGCATAGGTAGTACTCCAATCACCTCCAGCCCTGAGGTGAAAAAAAAAAAGTTCCAACTAAGTTTTAGAACTAAGATATATATATATATATATAAGTATACTGTTTGTTTATCTTACCTGTAACTAACCAGATTAGCTGCAAAAGTGATAGGTTGATCTCCTCTACCAATACCCTGTTCTTGAACTAAGATTGGCACTCTTTTTCCCTTGAAGTCCATGTGAGAGAACTGCTCTCCAAAACCAAAGAATCTCTCCTTCTCTTCACTTGAATAAGTCAAGCATACCCTGTTGAATGCTTCAAATTCCTCGGGTGCTTTCAAGTCTTCTCTTTCCTCTTCTGAAGAAGAAACTCTGACACACCCTTTCAGTTTTGCCAAAGAGCAATGCCATTCAACTTTCCCTTTCCTCAGCCGATGCAATCGAAACTTAAGCCTGTTGAGTCTCCCTCTTGAATGATATTCATAGCTGGGTTGCCCAAGCATCACTTGAAACCCAATTTGGCTGCTGTTTTTCTGTTCAAACAATACCCAATACCTTGCAGAAGCAGGCGGAACATTGAAACCAGTTTCTTGAAGACTGTTGTTGTTCTTCTTCTTTATCATCTTCTTCTTGGTATTGAATATTCTGCCATTAATGAGCAACATAGGGAACTGGGCATCTTTTTTATGGCTTTTCTGGTCCAAATCCAAATACCCAGATGGAAAATGATGATCCCTAACCTCCAATTCATAATCGCAGCCATTGATCTCCTTAATGTCATCAATTGTTTGATGATTACAAACCAAACGTATAGCCCCATCTTTGACAGCAAACGAACCTCGGCTTTCTTCCACCTCAGTTTCCACCATTGCTGCAGATACGAAAGCTCGCCCTGGGATTGTTGACCAGATTGATCTGGTGGGTTGAGAGAGATGATGAATTGAGAGAGACCCACCATTTTCGGACCTCCATAGAAGCTGGAAATCCTGTCCGATTGAGAAGACTCTGTACGGAGGAAGTGCTTGAAAGTTTGCAGAGAGGTCCCCCTGCACTAAAGGAGATGAAGTTGGAGGAGAAGGGAAAGGATTGTTGAGGTGTATGTGATGTTTTTTGGTGATTTTGAGGTTTTTCATGCTTGTGTTGTGTTGGAATAAGGGAGAAGAAGACCATGGAAGTTCCGAAAGTTCATATAGACACTGGAAGGCTTTTGAAATCTTTACGAGGAAGAGAAGTCCTTGGTTGCTTCCATTTCTGGGATGGTACGCAATTCTCTATTGCATCATTAGAATATGACTAAATATACTAAATTGCCAATAGGTTTTTTATTTTCAATTTTTTTTTTCTCTTAAATCTTTTAAATTTTTAATTTTTATTTTTATTATAGATGTATTAGAAAATCTGTTAAAAGTTATATTGAAGTATTTATAGCTGTATTTTTTTTTTTTTTTTTTTGGTTAGTTCGGAGTAGAGTTAGACATTGGTTGAAGGGGTGGATTGTGAGATCCCACATTGATTAGAGAGGGGAACAGATGCCAGCGAGGACGTTGAGTAGCGAATGGGGTGGATTATGAGATCTCATATACGGGAACAAAACATTATTATAAAGGTGTGGAAACATTTCACTATCCGTTTTAAAAAACCTTGAGAGGAAGCTTGAAAGGAAAAGCCTAAAGAAGACAATATCTGCTAGTGGTGAGGTTGGGTGTAGTTGTTACAGTATGGATTATGAGATCCCACAGTGGAACGAAATATTTTTTTGTAGAAGTGTAGGAATCTCTTCCTATCAAACAGTGTTTCAAAAAAAACTTTGAGGGAAAGTCCGAAAGAAAAAACCCAACACGTTTCAAAAAATCTCGAAAGAAAGTTCGAAAGGAATATCCAAAAAAGACAATATCTGTCAATAGTGAGCTTGGATGGTTACGATATTAATATATTTAGAAAGATATGCTATTTTTTAATAGGTGAGACAAATTTGGATGATAAACGGGTCGAATGAATACCATGGAGTTGATGTCGCCTTGTTTGTGCTTTGTATTACTTTTATTTATGGGTTCAATAATTTATAAATGTTAATTTTTGAAGTTGGGTTGAGGATTTATTTATCCATTCTAAATAATTATGTTTGAAAATATTTATATTCTCATTTATTTATCCAAATCCATGCCGCTAAGAAAGTCTTAGCAGGTCTAAGTCTAGAAAAGTAAGGTATTATCAAAATTAATGGTTAATAATTATTCCATTATTAGTGTTTTTTTTTTTTTTTTTTTTTTTTTTTTTTTTTTTTTTTTTTTTTTGTAATAAATTAAATTTATAATTTGTTTTTCTTTGCTTTCTAATCTACTCTTCTTTTTAATATGAAATTTGGGTATAAATTATAATTAAAAATGAATTAATTATAAAATTGAGCATGATTGTGTTGAATTTGTCAAAACAAAACTTCAAAATTATTGAGACCGATCAATTCCTTGGAGCTTCCATTAAATTGTTTGGTTTGCTAAAACCTATATATATATATATAGACTATTGATAAAAAAAAATGAATTATATTTGCTTAATACACAAATAAATCATCTCTATACAATTTATCTTTTTATTATTATTATTATTATTAAAAAAATGTTAAATTAATAAAATTACCACTACACTATATATTTTGTTTCGACTTAGAAGAGTTTTAATAATACTCTTCAATTTTTGAAAAAATCTAAAAAATATTCTTACGGTTATTTTTAGAAATTGTTAATATTTTGTTTAAAAAGTTCCATTAACTTTATTTTTTTTAATAAAGTTTAAAAATATAATTTATTATATAGTATTAATACCCATGAAATTTTAAATTAGCATTAATATATTTTACCTTTTTTAAAAAATTCTTAACTTCAATGTATGGAAAACCGTTCTCATAAATTATCTACAAACATTTTAACCTTAGTTTGAAAAGTTTTTTAATATTTTTGAAACATATACGTATTTTTTTAATTTTTTTTTTTAAGTTTAAAACTTATTTTGAAAATTTAAAAAGTATTTTAAAAGTTCAAAATATTTTGGATACAAAATATTGACTTATTTTAGAAAATATTTAGATTAAATTTTTTTTTTTTTTTTGAGTTTAAAGATATTTTTATTAATTTAACGAGAAAAAAAAAATTAGTCTCCACCCTTTAAATATGTTATGGAGATGCATTTGGTTAGATACTTAGCCTATGTTCATTCCTATGAATCATAACATTTTAAATGTCCAAATTCTCAATTTTATTTGCAATTTTAAAAAATGTCTAAAAAATTCTTATATTTTTAATTTTAAATCGAAAATTTTTTTAATAAATCTTTTTATTTTGTGTCCAATAAATTTTAAATTTTTTTTATTATTTTATACTAACATGAAATTGATCTAATCAATATATTTATAAATGAAATTTTAAAGTTTTATTAGACATACAATTATTTTTTAAAATAATTGAATATAGCATACTTTTATGAGATAAATAATATCTAAAATACAAAATTTAAAGTTTAAGACTTATTTGACATAAAACTAAGTAAGAAGAAAACCACCGTCTTTTGGGCTCCCGATTGATTTTATCAAAGTTCAAATTCTTCCTCTTCCTCAACCAATTCCCGACTTTCTTATCACACCAGTCAGAGAAGAGACATGATTGGAATCTGGGAGACTGACGAAATTGAAATTTACTTCTTTTCATATTTTCGCGCATGCGTAAGTTAAATGGAAACGCTTAACATTAAGTTGTAATTCATAGATGAAAGGGTTTGATGTGTTGGGTGTAGTTTTGTCTCTCACATGCATCAATGCATCTAGCCTTCTTTTCTTGCCATATTCAAACAAGAAACCTCTTTCAAACCCTTTCATGTCATGTGTTTCCATACAAACTTTGCCTTGTACACTTCAAAAACTCTACAAAGTTACAAATACTTTGATGTAATGACCCGACTTTTCATGCCTCGAAAAAAAAAAAAGGTGAAAAACGATTTGATTTATACTCAACAACTTACGTCACTGCCAATCACATGTGCCTTAGCTGATAATTGTAACAACCCTAAATTTCTGCTAGCTTAAAGTCGCTACTATATTCATAAGATGACCTCTTATGCAGAATAATTGTAACAACTCAGATCCACAACTAGCAATAGGTTTCCACACCCTTATAAACGGTGGTTTGTTCTCCTCCCCAACCACAATAATCATTTAAAATATCTTTATAAAATAATCTATGGACTTACATGTTTAAGAAAAGGTCTTTAAAGCAATACAAACAAAAGCTAAATAAAACAAAGTAAATATTAAAAACGACAACGTCCTATTCTAACCTAAGGTCTAGGAATTTAAACACATCTTATGAATGTGTCATGGTCTTTACTTGCGATGTCGTCATCAGCTGTATAGGAGTGTAACGATTCAGATTTTTCACTTTGCCTTATTTGGTTAAGATTTTATTTTTATTTCTATAAATGATAAGATATTATGTTATGTATTTATTCTCACCGGAAAATGTGCGATTTTCAACAGGGAAGTTATTACCTAAATGAAAATGTTATGAAAACCTTTTATATTCCATATTCAACTTTTCTCCTTCCTTGAAAACAACTTTTGCTCTCCAAACTTCTTTATGTTTTCAAGGGTGTCTGAGAATACGGGAAAATCGAGTGTTAGCTGGAAAAACATGTGGGTTGGTTTACTAGGTAGTTTTCTTGTTCGGCGAGTTTTGGAAATCGATTGTGTTGCTGTGTTGGAGGAAGAGTCGAGTGGAAGTTAGCGTCGACGTCAGAATCGCTGTGTCGAAGAAGGCAAACAGTCGAAAGCGAAGGAGGAGGACTAGCATGACC